GCACAAAGACTTTTTTTTTTTTTTGTGAAAGCAATGAAGATTTTAAGGAAAAGTTTTTATTGACTTGGTTTAAAACCGCTTTGGGGCCATCACATTGGGTCACACCCCAAGGAAGGGCCGTGGGAGGTGAGGGAGGCCGCTGCCGTCACAAGGAGGCCGATGTCTCCAGGCCTACAGGAGCAAATCCTCCTCCGTTAGCTTTTGCTTCAGCTTGCCATCTCGCAGGCCCGCTAGGAAGGTGGGCAGGTTCGCCTCGGAGAAGCCGTCGCCGTCACCGAGCCCCGACCCGGAGGCTGGCTCTGCTTCCACTGCGGTGTCAGACCCCGAGCCGGACTCCTCATCTGAGAGTGGAAATATGTCACCCAGTTCTTGGTACCTCTTCATCCTGAAATGCAGAGCAGCAGCTTGTTTATTTCAAATTTATGAATTTGTTTATTATCTCTTCAACTGGACACACCGAATCCTCACGTTTCCATGGGTGAGCCACGCTGTGACAGGACAGTCGTGATGGGAATAACGGATTTTGGGTGCTAGCATTAATAATGAAAGTGCAGCAAATGAACTTACAGGGACGGGTCTGCCATGGGCGGAAGGATCCTGTTGGCTCCACCGGTGGGCATGTAGAACCAGGGCCCCTTCTCCTCAATGCAGTTAGCAGACCAGGAGTCAGATCGGCACCTCACTCTCTTGTACCTCGCCCTCTGCATCGGAGCACCTGATCAAATCAGCCGTGCGTTATTCACCGGGACTTATTAACTTTAGTAGCACCTAGTAAAGCTTAAAGGAGTGGAAGAAGGTAATTTGTGTGGCCATGATTGCTCAACTGCCCAAAAGTAAATTAACCCTGCAGACTTTTTTGTAAATGGTTACCAGCATCCCTAAACAATACCACTGCTATCAGAGACATCAGGCACATCTTAACATGAAGTGCCAGTGAGTCCACGGGAATTAGAAATGGAAACCCTGTGGGAAAACACTGCCTCATGCCAACATCACAGCAGGGCTAATCCCTGGCCCGGGGCACAGCACGTTTCCAGGGTACCCCCGAACCCCGCAACCTGCAGCTCTCCCCAAACCTGGTGAAGGTACCTCAAGGTCTCTGGGGGACAAGGCATCACACCGGAGAAGTGGCTCCTGTGTCGTCCCTTTCTCTGTTGGCTCCAGCAAGGATCAGGGCCAACCCCACTTCAGCTTTGCCTGCCTCAGCTCAGCCCTATGAGTTCAATGGGGTGACTTTTAGTGGGGAGGTTGGAAATTCAAGGTGTGCCAAGAGCCGCCTGCTACAGGAGCAGATTTGGGGATTACATAGGCTCTCGGAGCACGCAGTGGCAGGAAAGATGGTTCAGGCATCTCCTAGGCATGTCTCTTATGTAAACCCACGGTTTCGGTTCTGGTGTTGCCCAGGTGCCTCACTGGGGCTGTCGCTGAAAAGCATGTCTCCAAAAAGTACCACAAGGAGAAACTAATGATCACAAAGTAAAGATAGAACCAGCAGCATTTCATCCTTCCTCTTGGTCTCATGTAATTAATTCTGAAGCCTCCTGGCGCATTCTCCTCCTGCTGACACTTTATCTATTTTTTCTCGGGTTCTTGGGAATATCTTTCTGTAATTACACTTCTCTATTGCCCTATATATTTCCATAATGTACTAGATGACTTTCAGCTACCTCCTACACTTCTCTGTAAGAGAAAAAAAGATCTCATGGGTATCATTTCCTGCTTCTCTCACAGCGTATTCCCTTTTCATACTTATTTTTTTCTCTTAGCATATCACAAAGAAGGTTTTTAATAATAACAAAGAGACAACTGCAGCTGAATGCTTTGTAAATAGATGACGGACAAAAAGCAGGCCATAATCTCTCAAACATCAGCCTCCGAGTGGCAGATGCATAACAAAAGCCTATCACTATCACAGCCTTGGTCTGGGGAGAAATCATAGCCTACACGCTTGAAAAGCGCTTCCCTCTCGCAAGCAACAAATCCACAGGGTACGCGTCACCGTGAATCAACATTTCCTTCTAGCTGTTTTAGTGCTGCATGTTGCAATATTGTACCGAATAAACCGTTTAATTTCCTCATACTTACGACTACTTTCCTTTCCTGCTCCCCCAAGAAAGTACACCGTAGCAGTTATGACACGGGAACTATTACATACTTGGTCTGTAACTACACAGCTGACCGACAGTAGTAACCTGACCACTAGGAAAGGGCCAGTTAATACATGTTGACATGTGTGGGTTGAAAATAAAAACACATACAGGAATGTATTTTATGAAGTCTTTTCCTCGTAGGGGTGGGAAAGGGACGCAGAAATGCTCCACTTGCCAAAAGCACATTTTCCTACCATTTATCCCTCCAGAAAATGAAATGTTAGCAAAACAGCTTTTCGGAGCAGAACTCATTACCCCTAGAAGAAGGTCAGTTTGAAAAATTTGGAGGCTGCCTACTTGGCCTACACTGCATAGCCCAGAAAGAGGATTACCGAGAGAACAACCGCCCCGTTTTACCTTGCGCCGTGTATCCCACAAAGAGGATTAAACAAATAGCCAGGAAAATCCTCCCGTTACATCTGATAAGGAGCTGCATTTTGGCCGGCATCCCCCGCTCGCCACCAGCCTTCACACGGCTTCACACTTCAGAAATACGGCGGCGCAAGGAGATCGACTTTTAGAAAAGGTTTCCAAAACCTCAAACCCAACCCATAACCTGCGTCACCGCTTCCTGATTGACGGGACTGAGACATGTACAGAAAAGCCCGGTGCCCTGCCCTCCCGGCCTTCATCACTCCCCAAAAAAGAAAAACCCATCCCCACTGCCTTCGCCTCCGGTTTTGCTGCAGGAGAAAAGCAAACCCCGGACCAACCGCCTTCCTGAAGGCGTGTGGACCAGGCGTGCATCCCGCCCAGCACCTGCCCGCTGCTCAGGGGGCTCCAGGGCGTTTGCTGTTTCCTCTGGAGAGAAAAAGCAGCACCCTCATGTCCCCCAGCTGCACTTCTGCACCGGCACTGGCAGCGATTTTCCCTGCCTCCCCCCCCTCAGTCCACCAGGAAGGTTAGGAGCTGGCTGCTCGCCATCAGCGCAGGTTTCACCAACTGGGAAATAACCTTCTTCCACAAAAGTAAATTATTTCTGGAATCTCATGCCAGGTTTGGGGTTTTTGGGGGTTTTTTCTTTTTGAAAGAAAGATCTTAGATATTCACAGAAGTGAAAAACTGTATTAATTTAGAGAACATATTCTGGTAGAAATGCGTCGGCTCCTTTCTGAAAGGGCACAGCGGATTAGCTCGGCCGGACCACGGTCGTGTGGTGCGAGTGCCCCAGGGAGCGTGGCAAAGGGTCAGGACGGCATGCGGCTCCACAAGGAGCCTGCCTGGAAAGCCATGGAAACCCTTCTGTAGAGGGATGGATACCTGGGAGCTGCCTTTCAGCTCTGACTAAACCAGGCTTGGGTTCACTTCAGAATAAATTACAAACAACAAGGTTATCTAAGCAGCGGTGAGGGTTTTTCTTAGTCAGACCATGAACTGGGGCACGGACACGTGGGCGTAACGTGCTACCGGCACCTTCAGCGAGGCTGCGGCTGATCGTGCGAGCTGTCTGCGGTAACTCTGCTTTTACACCGTGGAAAGACCACGGAGGCCCCCCGTGGGGACCTGAGCCGGGTGGTGACATTCCCCGGGGCATGGCGCTCCACCAAAACCCCACGAATGGTGGAGAAGACCCCTCCGGCAGCTCCTCTCTCCGGGCTGGGATTGACTGCTGGACCAAGGGGTGAAACTGTGCACTTGGCGCTGATACAGTTTATTATGAACCATCGCAGGTGGGGTTTTTTCCGACACAGGAACAATAGGCGAGCAGGTGCGGAAGGACTCGTGGGCAGCGGTTATTCCTCCCGGCCTCTTTTCTACTTCATATTTTTAGCATCAGCTCTTTTTTCTGGGTTGTTTTTTTTTTTAAGGTAGTGCTCAGCATCAATAGGAAGCGGAAGCCGTTCCTGCAATAATATCTCTCATGTTCCGCTGGTCATGGGCACACGCTGACCTCTTCACACCCCTCCAGCGTGCGCAAACAACCCCCCCACGCGGGAAAACACCCCTCCACCGGCTGTTTCTGCCTTTCCCACCAGCCTGGGGCTTTTCCCATCCACAGCAGCCAGAGCGGTGCCCACCGGTGGGCACGGTCCCGCAGGAGCTGCAAAACCCCTGTATCTGGTGGGGGATCTCACAGAGCCGAGTTATCTGCCTCGTACCATCAGCCAGGGAGGGAACTCGAAGCGCTGGCAGTTTTGCCACACAGTTTTGTTATTTTCTTCTGTGTCAGCGGCGCGCCTCAGGAAATGAGATTGCTTGACGATCGGTAACCATGGGAAGGCTGAAGCAGATTTTCCACTCTCCCGTCTCACGTACACCTGCGTGATGGGGGCCTTGGCACCCGCGGGGAGCTTCAGCTTCTGCCACCCTCCTCCTGTCCTGCTGCGCTCCGCCCGTGCCCGCACCCCACCGCGCTCTGCAAGCTTCCCACCTCCCTACGAATGTGGAAGTGAGGAGGGAGGCCTGGAGCTGAAGCAATCTGGGATGTGGAAGTCTTAGCATGCCCTTTGTGGAGCGTCATGGGATGCCCAAGGAACGCCGTGCGGTTATTTACCTCTCTGTAAGCCACTCGGGACATAAGATGCAAATAATAAGAAATAACAAATGCTGTCTTGAGCCAGAGGCCACAAGTTGCAGAAAGTCAACCAGCAGAGAGAACAGCCCACAAGCTATACTATACTGGAATGCTAACCCCAAAATGTGCCATTGCCTGACTACCAGAGCCTAAGAGAGAAAGGATTTTTTAAAGCCAAATATTTTAAATCCACAGAGGAGAGTCACTGTACCTTGATCAGCTGCCTCAAATCTACCTCCTGTAACAAGGAAGGTTCATAGGATAATATTCCTCTTGCACAGATCCTGCATGTAAATTGGAAGATTAAATGCCCCGACAGAATAAGTCTATAAAAAAAGGAGAAAATAACTGAGAAGCAGATATTTGATAACGCAGCTCGTGCCTTCAGGTCAGAGAGAAGATTTCGAATATTGTAGCGATACGATGGAATCGTGCTCACCTCCTGCCCGCATTTTTCCATAAACACTGCTCACCGATCGCGTTTCAGACAACTACCGCACTGAAGCGCTGCCATTATTTTCAAGTCACGTGCGAAGCAGATTAAGAGCTTTGCGTTTTTCCAAGGCATTAATTATTGGGGGAGTGGGGGGCAGGCGGGGGGAGGGGGCTGCCTCAGCACTGTGCGCCCAGGCCGACAACCAGACACCTTGAACTCTTCATCGGGTGCCTGTAAAATCCGGGAATAGCCCCTTGCTATAACAAACACTTGCTAACGCCTGACTGCTCGTAACTCTTGGGGCTGTTGTATCTCCCAGTGAGCTTCAGGAGTAGCATCACTAAATGGGGACCACACTGCAGGAGTGCCTGGTACGAGGCCATCCATCCTGCTGTCGAGGGCAGGGGATGTAGGGCAAAAAAAAAATCCCCAACAGACCCGTTTCAGTAACCCAGAGGGGCATCACAGGGGTGTTTAGGCTGGTTCTTCGGTGGACACCAACTCCTGCCCTGCTCTAGCCCAGATAAATGCTGCTGGCGCAGCTCGATCCGGAGGAACAGTCCGATGGAGCCGTGTTGGGCCACTCTCCCTGCTGCTTTTCCTCACCCAGTAACGCAGGTGTGCTTTGCAGCCTGTATTTCCGACAAGCAGCCAGACAGCCGATGGGCTTCCATGGGTGCAGGGGCACCCACGGTCCCCGTGCTTATCAGCAAGGCACGCAGGCGAGGAGATAGCCGTCCAGACGGGGGGTCCCGATAAGGAAGTTTCTCATTCATAACTGCTCGGAAATCAGATAAATCCTAACTGCTCTGTTCTCAGGGGTCAGGTTTGCCCCTGCCCCAGGTGGTGGGAGCTCAGGGAGGTCCAGGCTGACCCCTGCACTCCTCGAATGCTCCTCCCCAGCGGAGCAGCGAAGCCGACAGTGACTGGAGCAGCCAGGGGTCCCAAAGTGCTGGGCCCTGCCTGCGATGCTCAGCTCCTTGTTCGCTCCGCTGGGAAAGTGGAAATACGTGTTTTGCACAGGTCACTGCTCGGGGAGCAGCCAGGCTACATCTGTTAGGAGCAGAGCTGGAAAAGGGGGCGAAATGATGGCAACAGAAATCAACATAGAGGTCAGACTGAGCAAAGGGGCGAGTGTCTGAACGGCAGCTGGCTTGGTAGGAGGAGCGCTTCTGTTGCCCAACTTGTCTTTTGGGAAGGCAGAACACGTTTCTTTCCCCGCCACTCGCTGCTGAGGTGGGACGAGATTGGTCAGACCTGGACATCCAACAGGCCTTGAGCGCATTGATCTATCTCAGAGACTACCCACGAGCTGCCCTGTTAAACACCCCAAAATCACCCTGACTCCCCTTCTTCTCAGCAGCAAGCTCCCCTCCAGGCAGGCAGCCCAACCAGATTTAAAGGATGCTTTCTGACACCAGCTCACGTCCAACCAACCTCTGGGGACTGAAAGCAAAAATATATCCTGCCTCAAAATAGCAAAGAGCTGGCAACCCAGGGAGGGAGGTTTGGGTTGATCCGGGGGAATTTCTAAATCCAGCCCTGAGCAAAGACGAATTCCTAACCTGGGTCACATCTGAGCTCAGCGCCTGGCCCCTGTGTTCACCCACGTACCCAGAGCATCAGGGCATGTGCAGCAGGGCTGTACGTGGCATCCCTCGGCCTCTCTTGCCCCCCCTCCTCTTGCCTCTGAGGGCAGTATCAGGACCTGGCCCATGAAGATAAGATTCACATCTTGCAAGAAATCATTAACTCTCATGTGCATCACGTAGAAATCTGAGATTCACTGCCATCTAGATCACACAGAAGAGCGACTCCTTGTTTTTTCCCATGATGAAGATCAACAAGCTCACAGGGAGAGATCTGCGCTGGAAAGTCGCAGCTGCATCAAGATCGGACGCAGACCCCGACTGACGGGAAGCTGCCAACGGCCTTTCCCCACCAGCAATCTCCCCTCTGCCAAAAACCTTAACTGAGCAACGGGCCAGTCCCGCAGGAGGCAGCTTTCCTTCGTGCCTGAGGTGTGCTGCTTTCTGCTCCCACGCGCTGAAGCCCGGCGCAGCAGGAGATTTTGGCTGGCAAATTCAGGACTGTAGCCTAAAAGCAACAACTTATTAAGACACAACACAGCAGCCGAGCTCCAGCTTCTGATTAGGGAGGGAATTTCAGTAGCCATCCTTCCTTTCTCCAAATCTCATCCCCGAGCAGCACCAACCAGCTTTGCGGTGGAAGTGCCCAGCAGGACCCGCACAGCGGAGCAAAGGGGAAGGGAATCCCTTCACACAGCTGCCTGTTGGGAAAACACCCTTAAAACCATAAAGAATTAACGAGGGAGAGAGACACTGTGGGACAAGGATGTTTTAAAAGCAAGGCCTGGTGCGCTGTGTCTCTGGTACTTCTCCAGGAGTGTCTTTTCCTCGCAAACCAGCTGGTGTTGCTGCATACGCAGCTGGTTCGAGCTCGGTTACCTGGGTACGAGACGCAGCCATTTTTCCGT